AAAAAAAAAAAACAAAGGCAAGTTTTCACGAGGATGTAGAGAAATTGGAACCCTTGTACACTGTTGGTGGGAATGCAAAATGATATAGCCACTATGGAAAACAGTATGGAGGTTTCTCAAAAAACTAAAAATAGAGCTATCATAATGATCCAGCAGTCCAGCTTCTGGGTATTCATTGAAAAGAATTGAATCAGGGTCTTGAGGAGATACCTGCACTCCTGTGTTCATTACACCACTATTCACAAGAACCGAGATTGGAAACAACCTAAATGTCCATCAACAGATAAATGGACAAAAAAATGTGGTGTATAAATACAATGGAATATTATTCCATCTTAAAAAAAAATGGAAGTCCTGCAATACATGACAACATGCATGAACCTTGAGGACATTATGCTAAGTGAGCTAACCAGTTAGAGATTGACAAACACTGCATGATTTCACTTCTATGAGATATCTAAAATAGTCAAACTCATCGAATAGAACTGTGGTTGCCAGGGGCTGGGGAGGGGGAAATGGAAAGTTGCTAATCAATGGGTATAAAATTTCAGTTGCGCAAGACAAGTAACTTCTAGAGATCTGTGTACAACATTGTGCCTATAGTTAACAATACTGTAATTTACACTTAAAAATTTGTTAAGAGGGTAGATCTCATGTTAAGTATTCTTAAAACACTTAAAGATGAAAGAAAAAAAGAAATGAGACTAAAAATAATCGGGCAGATTTGAAAAAGAACCAAACAGAACTTCTAGAAATGAATATATAATAATTGATATTTGAAATTTAATGGCTAGTTTAAACAGCTGATTAGACACGCTAACAGGTAAACTAGTAAACTAGAAGATTGGTCTGAAGAAATCACTAAGAATGCAGTAGAGTGACAGAAAAAAGAAATATAAAAGAGGTTAAGAAATGTGTATGCTAGAGTTGAAAAATACAGGTATATCTAATCAGATTCTAGGAGATGATGGAGAGAATGAGGAGAGGCAGTATTCAGGGAAGTAATAGCTAAGAATTTTCCAGAATTGATGAAAAAAAAATGCTAATCCACAGGTTCAGGAAGCCTAATGTATCCTGAGCTGGATAAATAAAAAGGAATTAGTGAAACTGTGTAGAACACCAAGGACAAAGAAGATCTCAGAAGTTGACAGAGCACTAATAGAATACCTACAAAAGAATGTTAGGCAATTAGACCGATAAGAAACCTCCTCAAAAGCCAGAAGACAAAAAAATAGTATCTTCAAAGTGCTGAAAGAAAATGACTGTCATCCTAAAATTGTCTACTCAGCCAAACCGTCTTTACTTAGACCAAGAGCTAAGTAAAGACTTTTCAGACAAAAAATAAAAGAAAGAAAAAGAAATCAAACAAAAACCAGGGAATTTACCATTAACAGATCCTTACTAAAGGAACTTCTAATGGATATACTTAAGAAGAACAAAATTATTTCAGAAAGAAGCTCTGAGATGCAGTAAGGATCCTGAGCAAGAAAATAGTTAACATGTGGGTATGTCTGAACAAATATTGACTAAATGAAGCAATAATAGTCTCTATTAATGTTGAACTTATAGGGCTAAAAAAAGCCTACAAGAAAGGAGTAACAGGAAGTGTATAATTGCTTCAGTTTGAGAAACACTGACTTATAACTACTTATTAACATCTTGGTGTATCTCCTAGTCTTTTTTTCTGATAACTACCATTTATTGAGCAACTCTGTGCCAGCCACTCTTCTAAGCCCTTTTCCATGCGTTGTCCTAACAGAAACCGTACAAAGTAGGTTTTTTGCAGATGTGGAATCTGACAGAGAGATTTTCTAACCAGACCAGGGTCCCACTGCTAGTAAGTGGCAGAGCCAGAATTTGAACCCATGCCTGTCTGAATCTGAGGCCTATTATATTTACACTACGTGTTTTCCTGTTGATAGTAGACATAATCTTAGCACTGAAAGTATACATTTCCTCTTTGATAGAGAGCTTCTCTCATGTGTGAAGAATAAGACTGTTTAGGTTTCTTATGCACACAAAATTGCTAACAAACGTGTTGAGGAAGTTCTGTATTTGACTTTAGATCTTCAGTTTTCTCAGGCATGTTTTTGTCCTTTGATTTGAAATGTCCATCCCTAAGATTTGCTACGCTGATAGGCTTTGCCTTTCTCCTAGGGCTGTGTGCAAGAAGTTTGGACTGCATGTGAGTCGAATGATGCTAGCCTTCTTGGTTCTCAGCACTGGCATGTTTTGCTCATCATCAGGTAAGTAAAAGGGCAGGTGAGGGCATAACAGGTTCACTGATATTTCACAGTTGCACTGAAAGAGAGAACTTGTCTAGATGTAGGTTATATTTATATAACGTGTCAGTAGTTAGCAGAGCACTGTTATCTACATGATCTTGATTGACCTTATAACAGTTCTATGGTGTAAGTAAGATAAATGTTTTCTCATTTTTGCAGGTGAGGACACTGAAACTTAGAAAGGTGAAATGACTTACTAAAAGTCAAAGAATTTATAAGTGGTAGAGCTGTTGTTTTCATCAGGTTGCTTTCTATTACATTATTGTATTTTTTATCACTGCAAGGCTGAAAAACACAAGCACCCACTGCCTTTCTTTGCTGTTAGAGGAAGGAAAATAATTTTGTTATTTTGCTCGAGGAAGTTCTTTGTGCCTAAAAACCCTGTTCTTAGATCTTCCATCTGATGGCTGTAATATAATGTAAAATAGATGTTACAATAG